TCAAAATAGCTGGAGAGAACATGAACATCTATAATGTTCCTGACATGAAGAAAAGATAAAACGTTTGAGGTGATGCTATCTCAATTACCATGATCAGATCATTACACAGTGTATAAATGCATCAAATACACATGGATCCCCCAAATATATACAGCTATATCAGTAAAAATTTGAGAAAACTGTCTCCAAATAGCCTAGTTTTTCTACAATGAGAATTTGTCCTCGTGCAAATCAGAAAAAGGAGTCGTAGGAGCAGACAAGAGCAGCACTAGCAGCTAGCAAGACACCTACAGGCTCTAGGGTGAGGATATGCCTGGGGCCGGGTGAGCAGTCCTTGCTCGGCAGATGCTTTGGAACTTCAGCAGTATTGGCATCTTTAGATGGAAGGCTCTTCCAGGTTTGACATCAAATGATATCGCAATTTTTTAAGGCCAAAAATTATATTTCTAAACAAATCACACAGCAAGAAATAGTCTAAGTTTTAAATAAAAACCATGATACAAAATTTCATTTGCAGTATTATCTCAAGTAGGTTAGAGATAAATAGGATAATTGGAAAAATACAAATACACAAATATACTAGACAGTTTCAGACTAAGACCAAAGCAGGATTTTCCTAAGCTTTCTTTATAGAAATGTTTAATTCTTTAAGAGATATATATATATATATATATTTTTTTTTTTTTTTTTTTGAGACAGAGTCTCACTTTGTTGCCCAGGCTAGAGTGAGTGCCGTGGCGTCAGCCTGGCTCACAGCAACCTCAATCTCCGGGGCTCAGCGATCCTACTGCCTCAGCCTCCCGAGTAGCTGGGACTACAGGCATGTGCCACCATGCCCGGCTAATTTTTTTTATATTTTTAGTTGGTCAATTAATTTATTTCTATTTTTGGTAGAGACGGGGTCTCGCTCAGGCTAGTTTCGAACTCCTGACCTTGAGCAATCCGCCCGCCTCGGCCTCCCAAAGTGCTAGGATTATAGGCGTGAGCCACCACGCCCGGCATTTAAGATATATTTTTAACATTCCAGTTTGTTATAAATACTAATGCCACTTAACACGGTACAGCATTAGGTACCATGTTGGTAGGTTTTGTTTGGGGGGGTTTCATTTATTTAGGTTGGTGCAAAAGTAATTGTGTTTTTGGACCGTGAATTTTAAATCATTATAACCAGGCTCAAATGCATCTTTATTAATAAAAATAGTAACCATTACATCAACACATGTTTGCAACAAGAAATAAGTTTGTTTATTCCTATGGAGTAAAATTCTCTGCTTTGGGATTCAACGAACTCTTGGAAAGCATTTTCTGCATCCTGCTGGTTGTGGAAGCATTTTCCTTGCAAAAGGTTGTCACGATGCTTGTAGAAGTGGTAGTCGGTTGGCGAGAGGTCAGGTGAACATGGTGGATGAGGCAAAACTTCACAGCCCAATTCGTTCAACTTCTGAATCACTGGTTGTGTGCCGTGCAGTGGGGTGTTGTCATGGAGAAGAACTGGCGCTTTCTGTTGACCAATGCCAGCTGCGTGCATTGCAGGTTTCCATGCATCTCGTTGATTTGCTGAGGAGACTTCTCAGACGTAATGGTTTTGCCAGGATTCAGAAATCTGTAGTGGATCAGACAGGCAGCAGACTACCAAACAGTGAGACCATGACCTTTTTTTGTTGCAAGTTTGGCTTTGGGAAGTGCTTTGGAGCTTCTTCTTTGTCCAACCACTGAGGTGGTTGTTGCCAGTTGTTGTATAAAATCCAATTTTCATCACCTAGTCACACAGTCCTATCAAGAAATGGTTTGTCATTGTTGCATAAAAGAAGAGAAGATGACACTTCAAAACGATTTTCTTTTATTTTCAGTCAGCTCAGGAGGCACCCACTCATTGAGCTTTCTCACTTTTCCAATTGGCTTCAAATGTGGAATGACCATAGAATGGTCGACCTTAAGTTCTTCAGCAGCTTCTCATGTGGTTGTAAGAGGATCAGCTTCGATGACTGCTCTCAATTGGTCGTTGTCAACTTCCAATGGCCAGCCACTGTGCTCCTCATCTTCAAGGCTCTCGTCTCCTTTGCAAACTTCTCGAACCCCCACTGCACTGCACGTTCGTTAGCAGATCCTGGGCCAAATGTGTTGTTGATGCTGCGAATTGTCTCTGCTGCTTTATGACCCATTTTGAACTTGAATAAGAAAATTGCTCAAATTTGCTTATCTAACATCATTTCCATAGTCTAAAATATATATAAAATAAACAGCAAGTAACACGTCATTAGCAAAAAAACAAAGTGAGAAATGTGCGTTAAAATGATGCATACCACATTTAAGAATGTATTCCAATATCAAATGGAAAATTTCCAAAATGCTAAAAGTACATTTACTTTTGTACCAACCTAAATACTAGTTTGGTAAACCTAAGATGAGACCCTAATATGCACCAGCTATAAGATTTGGAGGATAAAATATGCCCATCATATAAAGAAATGTGTAAACATACCCAAGAAAACTGGCAAAAATGAAATCTTGATTTTTTTTCCTTCCTCACCTTTCCTTCTGATTAGTTTCACTCTCCTACTACACACCTTCTTTAAAGGATTCTAATCAGGGTATAGATTGAAATCCAAACTCTATTTCTTTAAGGAAATATTTAAACAGTGTTTCTATGCATCACGCACTACCATAAGCACTTTACAGATTTCATTTCATCTGGGCCGCTCTTCAGGGTGGCATCCACGGCATCGTGCCTCACCCCTTCCCCATCCCTCCAATGGGCCAGTAACTTGGCCTCGCCAACCTCCCCAGGTGCCTAGACTATCCTCACAGGGACCTCTCACCCTTTGTTCATCTCTTCCCGAGACATGATCCCTATTTCTGCCTCCCCACCACTTCTCCAAAATCTACTTGTCAAAGGCCAGGACAAATCCTGCCTTCATTGAACCTTCCCAAACCCTCCTGGGTCAGAACTGTTCCCTTCACCCATTACACTCTGCGGTACTAGAGGTACAGTCTCTGAAGAACACAATCTCTCGCAGGAATTCCTAGTGGTTTACAGCACCCTTCTCTATCTTCCTCTCCCCACACTGCCTGGTTCCTTGTCCCTCTGCACGATAGATGCTGCTCAACACGCCACGCCCTATAAATATGGTCATTTCACCTACAAGACAAAGATAGACCTTAAAGAGCAGTCTTCAGTGGTGCCTACTATGCCCAGAACACCATACATTGCCCCATGTTATTTATTACCAAAATTATTATAAATGCCATGTTATCATTATCATTTACTATTTTCCATGTGCGAAGTACTGTGCTAAGCACTTTAAATGTCTTATAAGTTAGCATATCCCCTAAAATTATCCCTTAGAAGAAAGGCTCACCTTATAATCAAGTCATTACAATGGTCTCATATTGCAGAGGGTTCTATAGTTTTTGAAAAACAATATTCTGTTTGATGAAGACACACGAGCCTGAACTAATTCAGTCATGCTAGTTTTAGGTGTTTATAACAATCATCTGATAAACTTTTTAAAAATGAGACAAGGAGATAAATTTAACAGATATATTCATTATTCCTAGGGCATAACTTTACAATTGCTATTGCTAGAAAATTTGTGAATAAGCTTTAGTAAGATCACTTTCTGGAAAAAAAAAAGCAACACAGCAAGTTGTCACACTGTGGACCCACAAGTATATTATTAAGGGAGGAAAACACGTAAGTGTTTGAGAGTTAGTGATTGAGGATACAATTCCAGTGCTAACATCACAGAGGGATTCGGAAAGCTCTGTGTAGCAAGTATCTCCAAGGAAGCAAAGGTAACACACTCCGGGAAACTGCTGAGAGAGACAAAAAGCAGCTCTAATGAAGACACACATACTGGAGTTGGAGACACCAGTCCAGAGTTTCAATATAAGTGTTTTGTTACACGAGAAAGTAGAAATATTACAATGATACATGACATACTCACACTTCAGATCACATGCGGTAGCTAAACACTGTCCTTAAAAGCTAAACCCACGTGAAGAAGCCTCTCTGCCGTGACCAGGCCCCTCAGGGCACTGCAGCTCGGGAGGGCTGGAGCAGGCCGTCATCGATGCTCATTAAGGGAGCCCTTCTGGTCCCTTTTAGACCCTTCAATTTCACACAAACTTCACATCAAGAGATCCTGATGAGTATATTAGAGAGAGACGAAGACTTGAATGGCCCTCTCCTTGTGTTCCTTTGTGACACACATGTTAAATGAACTAGAAAAATGTGAGAGCCACAAACCTAGAACCTCCATCTCCCGTATCTGACCTGAGCCTTTGTGGTTTGCTCCCAAATTCTCAGCTGGAATATCCTCCTGGGAACAGCATGCGTTGTGCAAGTGTCAGAACACAAAATACCAAGGAGGAGTATTTGGGGAATAATGGCTCTTATTTTTAGGTAAATTTACTTAATCCTAATAGCAATAAGCGTAACCTTTCAAAAGACAACATTACGCCTCAGGGATCTTCCACGGGGCAGGAGCATCGGGAGGGCGGATGCCTGGAAGAGCACCGAGCCACGGCCACAGCGCCGGCTGCCTCTCGGGCGACCGCGCAGCTCTCCAGGCTCACCCCGCTGTGGACACAGCGCCCCCAGGTGTCTCTTTTTTAAAGTGAAGCTGTTGGATAGGCTACATGCAAATGAAAGGTTTTCTTTCAGGTAATTTAAGCTTTTATTCAATCACATATGAGAACAAAAATATAATTTTTTATTTAATAAGACGATAAAACAAAATAAAATAATGTTAGCAGTCAGATAATCTAGTCGTATTTTGCTCGAAACTGTAACCCCTCCGAACCATAACATCGTCACGGGTAGTTTGATGGGAACCTGTATTGGGGATGTTTTGAGGACCACATTTCCTACCATAGAAAACAGAATTCTTGACCTTGACGGTACAAAATGTCCACACCTTTCACTGCCCTGTTCTTCCAGAGGCTGGAAGGTGATCTCTTGAGCCATGCAGACCTGGGTGCCAAGGTCCTTAACTCACCTGAATGTGCACAGCGCCCTCTACTGCTTCTTGGAGACTAGAACAGCCACTGATGAGTGACACCTGCTCTTCCACACTCAAGGAGCCTTTCAGAGAACCTGCCTCCTCCAGCGACTTCAGGTCCTTCCTGCAAAGGAGTGGAGAATGATCACCGAGTATCCAAAACCAAATTAAAAAGCAAACAAAGCTCAACAACACGAATCACCAAGGAAATGCAAATAAAATCCACAATGAGAAGCTGCCTCACACCCATTAGGATGGCTATTACCAAAAAAATAGAAGTAACAAGCGTTGGCAAGGATGTGGAGGGACCAGAGATGTTGAGCACTGTTGGTTAGACTGTAAAGGGTGCGGCCACTATAAAAGATAGTATGGCGGTCCCCCCCCCCCAATTAAAGTAGAATTACAATATGATCCAGCAATTCCACTTCTGGTTATTTACCCAAAATAATTTCAAGCAGGGTCTCAAAGAGACTTTTGCATACTCACATTCATAGTAGCATTATTCACAATAGCCAAGAGGTAGAAGCAACCTAAGTGTCCACTGACAGATGCACAGAAAAACGAAAAATGAAATGTTGTGCATACACACAACAGAATATCATGCAGCCGTAAAGGAGGAGGAAATTCTGACATATACTACAAACAGATGAATCTTGAGGACCTTACGCTATGTGAAATAAGCCAGACACAAAAGGGCAAATACTGTATGATTCTGCCGATAAGAGGTACCTACAGTGGTCAGAGTCAGAAACTTAGCATTGTCCCAGCCGCCAGGCACTGGGGTTGAGGGAATGGGGAGTTTGTGTTTAGTGGGTGAGGATGAAACACTCCGGGAGATGCACTACCATCACCTTCATTCAACAATGTAAACATACCTGACTGTACTTAAAAGTGGTTAGGAGAATAAATTTGTTATATATACTTTATCCAATTAAACTTTTAATTGAAATTTTGAAAAATAAAGGATGCCATAAGCCCTGAGGGTGGGGATTGGAAGCAGTGGTTCTTCACCCTCATGCCTGAGTCAGTCCCCAGGCATGGAAGGGTTGAAAGAAGGTGTCTTATCACCAGGGTGGGCTTCGTGGAGTGTGACCTGTGAGGTCCCTCAGGACCCTGAACTTGGAGGGGCCTATGCTGGGTTTGATGCTCTGCTGTCACCTTCTTAAAATTCTTATTAAATTTTGAACAAGGAGCCCCACATTTTCATTCGCACTGCGCTGTGCAATTTATGTAGACAGTGCTGCTTATATCTCATGACAGGTTAAATAAACCAGGCAGAATATGTGTACACACACACACGGCGGCCTAAGGAGCAACGCCCGTGCCTTCCAAAGAATTCTGTGGACTTTTTGCCAGTAAGTCAAATAATTTTTACACCATTTCATGTCACAGATTTTATCTGTGAGCTGTCAATGCTCCTTTAGCCAAAAGCTACCACTTGCAGTGGAACCAGTGGGGTCTGCGCGGCGAGGAAGACACACATCGTGCGTGGGGGCGCCATGGCACATCTCAGGGAGAGGGTGCCAGAGAAAGCCTGGAACTGGGGTTGGGCTTTGGTTGGGAGATTTGGAGGAGTGTCTCGGGAAGTGGGGCCCCCTAGATCGCATGCCGGGGCAACCTGAAGGTTGGGGAAGTCAGTTGATCTTATCCATATGGAGGGGAGGCCAGACCAGAGATAAAGCCGTCGCGGGGAAAGAAGTAGCAGTCTCTCATTTTGACCAAGAGAGTGGTGGGTCACATGCAGCCTTGTTTCTGTCTGTGCTTAGGCAAATTCATGAAGCAGCTTTGTGTTGCCTAATTCCGTCCCAGTCTAAGAATGACCCAGTCTGATGTTGCTTATGTCCGCCAGGTGAAGGCAAAAATTGCCAAGATACACTGAAATACAAATAGGTTTCTATAGTATCTTTAGCAAAAAGAAGCTTCAAGGAAAAGATGAGTCCTCTGCTGATCAGGCAGATGCAAAGTCTTTCCTGCTTACAAGTCAGCAAGGACAAAAAAGCAATTATAGGCATCACCACGCATGGGACCTGGGCTTACTTTTTTTTTTTTTTTTTTAAAGGAGGGGGAGAATGTATGAAGTTTTTCTCATGTAAATAATTTTGAAGATCTGCAATATATCAACTTAAAAACAAAACAAAACAAAACAAAAAACACCTTACAATAAGTCCCAAAAATGGCTGTCTTATTTTGGAGGACAAGCATGCAGAGGTCCCTCCTGAGACCTCATCACCCACAGAGCAGCTCAACGCTGGGTACCCAATATCCCTGACCACCCTCAATGGGCAGGTATTCTTAAGTTTTTACATACAACTAATTCCTTAAAGTAGAAGCTTATAAAATAATGAGAAATACACAAAACAAAGCGTGTGTCTGAGCCAGTTCACCAGAAAGTGTATATTCATTGTATACGGCGTTGTGAGGTGCCTTAGCAACAGATTAGTTAAGATTTAAAAGTTTGATGGCTAAAATCCAGAAAGCTGGTTCAAGGTAAGTGCCAGCAAATAGATATCTGAAACACCATTGAGGAAAATACAGCAGAAATGGTTACAAGAAAAGGTTCCCTACTAAGATAAAAGGGAAAGGCAAAAGTTCACAGGTCAGAGGTTCGCGTGAGCACACATCAGCGACGCCCGGCAAACCTCCCGCGGGGAGACCGAGCGCCTGTTCCCAGTAATATCAGGGAAGAGCACTGTGTGACGAGAAGGCCATTTCTTTCCCATTTCACAGTATATGTCTGATCCAGGTTTCAAAAATGTTTAGTTATACAACTCTAAATATATGGAAAACCCTTGAACTGTACACTTTAGATTAGCCCATTGCATGATATGTAAATTGTATCTCAGAAAAGGTGGTGTACCCGTTTCCTATTGCTGCTGTAACCAATTATCACAAACTCAGTGGCTTGGAGAATATAGATGTACCATCTTACTGCTCTGGTCAGAAACCTCAGCGAGGCGGACACCACCGTGGCCGCGGGGCTGCCCTCCTGCTAGAGGCGCCAGGGTGGGGTCCATCCCTTGCCTTTTCTGGCTTCCAGAGGCCACCTGCACCACTGGCCCATGGCCCCCTGTACCGTTCACAGCCAGCAGTCTGTACTCCTGCCTATGTTCTGTCATCACATCTCCTTTGACTTTCCTGCCTCCTTTTGTCCCTTACGAGGACCCTTGTGACTACATCGGGCCAACCCAGGAAACCCCCTCATCTTGCCATCCGTAATGGAATCACATCCACAAAAATCCCTTTTGCCATGTAAGGAAACATTCCCAGGTTCCAGAGATGAAGACATAGACATCTTTGGGGGAGCCATTATTCTGCCTACCATACCCGCGTAAAAAAACTTTCAGAATATGTAATGTATATAAGAATATCCTATATAATCAGTGTCCAAATTATGCTTGTATAATAAGAGGACTTACCTAGTAAAGCCACTGCAGATATCATCCCACTATATTCTGACCTCCACTGGCTGTTGAGAAATTGTCAACTTGTCATTCCTTTATAAGTAATCTGTCTTTTCTCCCTGTTTTTAACTTTCCCCCTTGTGGCGTGGTGTTTGACAGTTTCACAATGCTGTTCCTGGGTACAGACATGCTTTCTATTTATCCTGCTGGGGATACTTCGTTATTCCAGAATCTGAGGATTTGTGTCTTTGACGTGAACTCTTAATCAGATCTTCACAGATTACTTCCTTCCCTGTTCTCTAAGTCTTTCAGAACTCTAGTGACATGGATGTTAGACATTCTATCCTCCATGTTTCTTAACCACTTTTCCACATTTTCATCTCTTCATCTCTCTGAATTGCATTTTAAATAATATCCTCTGCTCCGATTTCAGTTCAGTACGCTCAAAATGCCCGTTTCTCATGACTTTGGGGGTTTGGCTTATGAGTGTTCACTGAACACCAAGGATCCCATGAGCGTTGCTTACGGTACGTTGCTCTGGAGATGACAGCATTTTACTTCTGCCAGGCACTCGGGGGCTGCCAACCAAGGAACCTTGGCGTGGGGTATTCCAGACCACACAGGCAGTGTGAATTTGGACTCCAGTACTTTGAGAGCTGCTTCATGGTTATAAATCCTCAGAGAAACACTTCCTCCCTGATACCCAGAGTCAAGGCCAAAACAGACAAACCTCCACTTGCAGATGAGTGATTTTTGTCTTAACTGTCCCTTTCACTGAGGATGTAGCCCTTTGGGAACTCTGGCTTCAGTCACGGGTCTCCAGTCCATGCCCTCACCTTGCGCATAAGGCAGGCCGGACGACCAAAGCTCCAGATGAGCAGGACTGGTCAGTGTCCTTGGAGCAGCCACCAGCTCCAGCGCTCAGACCGCCAGGACTGGTGCTCCCACGGGAGCCTCTGGGACTTTCCATTATGTTCTTGCCAGCTCACAGTGCATCATTTTAAAACACCTCTAATATTACCCAATATTTTTAAGTATTTTGAAGGGGAAAGGGTTTTCAGGATACTCACTATGCCATATTGCCAGAAACGGAATTTTAGACCATTTCTTCAAAGTCCAATATACCTAGGTACTATGCATAGTTGACATTTCCTGAGAAAAGGGAAATATTTACCTTCTTCATTTTATTAACAATAAGTTATTCAATGTGAAAATGATCTCTACCACACAAATTTATAACACACAACTATTAACTAATTACATCATGGTTCTTGTCCATATGTGCAGAGAAGAAAACACTACTGATTTTTAGGGTTATCCTAGTTTTGCAATTTGAAAAAAAATATCTGTAATTCAAGAATTCACTCAAATCTAATAAATTTAGCTTTAAAAACAATTAGAGATACTGATGAAATAAATCAAGACAAAAAAGATGTTTCTTTTTTATTTAATCTCACCTATTCATTTTGGTGCCAAAGAAATCGTGGCCCAAAGAGGTTAGACTCGCCAGGACTCCAGGCTGTCAGAAGCTCGACCCACTAACCCCAGTCTCTTCCTCCTAGGGCACAGTTAACAGGATCCACTCTTCCTTACTAACTTCCTGCCAAAACACACTGTCTCTCGTTAAAAATAAAAATCTTGTCTGACGGGATTTACTTACAGGACCAACTGGCACAATTTATCGGCTTAAAATCTGAAGATTCGGGGCACCCAACAGAGCAAA